GGGCTTTGCCGCGCGCCCCCCAAGAGCCGGAGCCGGGGAGCCACCGGCACATGAACAACTAAAGCGTCTGCCCTGGAATCTTTTCTGAGCCCGCGGCCTCCCCCCCCCGCCCTGCTTGCGGGGCTAATTCAGGGCCTGGGATGGTGTTGATGGACTATCCTGGCTGCCCTGCCTCCTATTGTGTCACTAACGCTCCATCACAAAGGCCACTCGCCCTTAGCAACAGTTGCTGGGCGGGTCTTATCTCCTGGGCCCCATCCCTTCCCCCAGCCGGAATCGGAGGCCGGGACTGGGTCGGGCCAGCCTGCAGGGTGGAGCTGCTCCGAGACCCCGGAGGATTATCCGCAGGGGCTCCCCAGCGGGCACTTCCCCGTGGGCGGCCTGGGGGGCGGGGGTGTGGACACATCGGGGGCAAAGGGAGCCCGTGATGCTGCTTCCCATCTCTTGGTAGCTGTCACTGGTGTGACAAGCAGTCCTCCTGCTCCCCCACCCCTACGCTTTTTTTCCTGGATTCTTCGTTAAAAATTCCACCTGGCTGTTTGCAGCAGCGGCCGTGTTTCATGCCACTGTTGTCACTTTGCAGCGTCCTGACAGCAGCACTTGCCCAGCTACGTTGGGCTGTAATTGTGTCGTTGGCAAGTCTGTGAAGTCGACAAAAAAAGGCGCTCTTCAGCCCAGTGTGCATTATATGTGAGAATCACCTGGGGAAGTTGAAAAACGGGCCCTACCCCGGGGATGCTGACTTAATTAGTCTGCCCAGGTGTAAGCTCAGTGCACCTCCACCCCCCTCTCCAGCCAGGGAGAGGGCTGAGGTTCGTACCCCTTTGAAGCCTCAAGTCCTCCTTTGTAAAATGAGACCTACCTAGCAGTGCAGTTTTGAGGATTAAATGAGATTGATAGAAAGCGTTTGCTTGTTAAGTGACTAAAGCTGGAGTGGTGAGAGCTAATTGCACCGGGAGTCGGAACTTCTGAGTCCCAGCTTCTAACTGTGACCTTCAGCCGCTGTGCCCCAGACTTCCCTTTTGTTCCTTCCAGCTTCAAAATTCTATAATTCCATGATCTCTTAGACAACAGGAGTTACATTGGCTTATGAAAGTGGCATGCAGTTTGAGTAACTTGTCCACAAATTTACGGTTACTCACACGACACGTGAAAACTGAGACGACCCAAGTTGAGTCTGCTGTGTTTTTAATTCGAGGGAGCTTGTTGCAGGGACAGAGCAGCGTTTGTGCCCTGAGTCTTCCATGACCCCCAGGCGCCCGTCGGTGCCTACAGCCGGCCCCGGTCTGACTTACTGACTCGTCTTCCCAGGAGGGCTGCAGATCTGAGTTGTCCTCCCACGTCTGGTGATAGGTTGGCAATGACAACACTATTATTACTAGTCGCCATTTCTAAGTGCTTTACAGATGTTAACTCAGTTTGATCCTTGCAACGACCCTATGAGGTATGATTGCTTTGAGATAAATTGTATCTCACTGGGGCCTGAACCCCCACAGCTGACCGGAACCCCAGACCAGCTGAGAACTTTCCTCTGACACCTGGCTTCGGAGCCTGTTCTCCTACACGGGCTGTGAGGCTGTGAGGCTGTGAGGGGTGCGGGTCTCACCTCATGGCAGGTCTCCTGCTCCTGGGCTCCTGCAAGTGGGGGACTCTTGAGCATTCAGATTCCATCCTAGGTGCTCCCCTTAGGAATGCAGTGTCCTAGCCAGGAGCTCAGGGCCTGGGCAGCCCCAGTGGTGACTCACTGGTTGCCTGGAGACCAGGAAAACCTCTGGAGGTGGCTTCAGCCCCAGGAGGTTCTGTCCTCCGAGCCCTGGGAGCTGGCAGTGGGATGGGAACCCCGAAAGCAGGGCCCCAGCTTCTCCAGTGACAGCATCCATGGAGGGAACCGCTGCCGCGGGCCAGCCCCTCAGACCTTGGTTGCGGTTGCATCTTTTGCATGTCTGTGCATGCTCTCGATTAACCTGCCCGGGGTCTTCTTTTAGCCAGAACTGTCAGTTGTTGATATATTTTTAAGGTTCCTCTTTTGTCTCCCTTCTGTTCTGTGAGCACTGCTCCGCTGCCCCCTCCGACACCCGTCTGTGCCCTGAAACACGCCGCCCGGGGCTTAGCACGTTTAAGACTGCAGGTGGACGGCACCTGTCTTGAGGCTTATTTATGGAGCTCCCACTCTGGTCCTGTGAGAGGGGAGGTGGGACGATCAAACTGCGCGGACACACCCTCGGAGGTTGAGGAGTCTGGGCAGGTGACTCAGTAGTGACAGAGCAGTCAGGGCGCTGGGCAGACTTCTGTTCTTCCCTTCTGCAAATCGTTTGGGTAATGCCAACATGACTTCAAGGAATAATTTTGGATTGAATTAATACAACGGTTCTCAAACTTTCACACTCAAAAAATTTTGAGGATCCCAAAGAGCTTTTGTTTATGTGGATTTTATCTACTGTATCCTGTATAATATAACCGGTACTAGAAATTAAAACTGCGAAGTGTTTAAAACACAAGACTACACAAGCACACAAACTTATTTGTCAGAGCAATATTGTCATATATGATGCAGATTCTGGAAAATTCTGTATACTCATGAGAGAGGGAGAGTGAAAAAAACAAATAACATCTCAAAATTTCTAAGAAGAGAGTTTTGAATTTGTAGATAGCCTGCAAAAGTCTAGGGGACCCTCGGGGGTTCCCTGGCCATGCTTCGAGAACTGCTGTGGTACAGCATCAAAGATTTGAACATTCTTAGGGTGCCTTGATCAGTGACAGGAAAAGCTCTTTTATAGAGTCCTGGGTAAAGTAGGAAAGGAAAGAAGTAACTTTTCCTTTACCCTCTTAGGTTCTGTTCTTGGAGCCTGCAAATTAAACCGACAATAGCCACAGTAACGGGAGAAAAGGCATATAAATTTTATTTGCTGTTGACGTTTAATTATGTGTGTGGAGGCCTTCATGGAAAAGAAGACCCAAAGAAGTGGGTAGACCAGGTTTTATGTACTGTTTTAACAAATGGTGATAAACAGTGGAGAATTGACAGGACACAGGAAAATGGGTTTGAGCTTCCAGGAGCAGTAAATTGGGGGAAGATGAGTGTGTGGGGGAAACTAACCGAAGGTGAGGGTTACTTTAAGGAGGTTCATCCGTTCAGACCTGTCTTGGTGCCCAGCTTCCGTCTCCAGCGATCAGGGCCGTTCTCCTGGAAGGGGGACGCTGTCACCAACAGAAATACATGTCCTGCTTTCGGGCAGACAGGAGGAGGCGCGGAATTCCGTCTGCACTTGCGCTTCTCCATTGCCTTCAGCTCGAAATAATCCTTATGCAAAGTGGCAGATTTGGGGTAGCACATTCTGACCCCCTGGCAGGACCCCAGAGGTGGACGAGCAAAATGGCTGCCCCCCCCATGTGTTCCCTCTGTCTCTCCTGCTGCACACCCCTGGCTCTTCCCACTCTGCCTGACCATGTCATTCTTGGCGTCCCTCCTAGTGGCTCTGGCCACCTCAGGGGCCTGCCTTGGGGGCCAGGAAGTGGACTCTTGGACCACTCTTTCTGGCTTGCATCCTCTCCTCCGCTGGCCTGTTCCTCGTTTGCTGCACACATATTTACTGAGCACTGACCACAAGCCAGGCACCACTCCAGATGCAAGCAACCCAGCCATGAATGAGAGGGAGACGTCCAAGCCCCTTGGCACCAGGGAGCATCACCCCAGGCGGGGCTGGGCCTTCTGATCAACCTCAGAGGCCGTGGAAGGCATTGATGGAAGCAACTGCAAAGTCCATCCTGGTCTGGGAGATGGTCGGCAGCTGGGGACGGAGGTCCGCTCTGCTCAGCTCTGAGTTTGGTTAGACCACACTTCTCTCCCAGGTGTACGAACTGAATGGGACGGTTCACAGCCTAGAGTGGTCGGTGAGGACGTATGAGGAGGTGGCTCGAGTGTTTGCAGAAAAGCATCCTGGGTTCATCGGAATCAAACTCATTTACTCGGATCACCGGTAAGGCAGAGCATGGGTGAGGCTGGGTCGTGGGCAGAGCTGCTGGGCTGGGCGGGGACAGAGGAGGAGAAGGGGCCCGGGGCTGAGACCCCCGCACGCCCCAGTGCCACGGCTTTGTGTGCAGTGGTGGGAGTGCAGACTCCAGCCTGAAATCACTGCTGCTTCATGTCTTCACAGCTGGGCTGGAATGAAGGGCTTGGCAATTTTCCAGGTACTTCAGACTGTGGCCCCACATCAGCCTCAGCCTGGTGATCAGTTATGAGCTTAATGTTTTTGCCTGAATGTTCAGACAACTTCTTCGTTTCAGTCTGCGGCCAGGTTCTGCCTCGTGGCTGCACTGAGGGTCTGGGGGAGTGGCAGCTGGTTCCTTGGATCACAGCAGACACACCCTCATCGGCCCACGTCTCCCTGTCTCTCCCGCAGATCCAAAAATGTGTCCTGCATCAAAAAATCGGTCCAAACGGCCATGAAACTTCGTGCCCAGTTCCCCAGGATGGTGGCTGGGTTTGATCTGGTAGCAGACTCTGTCCTACAGGGGCCCCGCGGGCAGCTGTCTGGGGCGGGCTGGGCAGCTCCACTGAGACCCTCACTAGGGGCTGCAGGAGTGTCTGGAAGCAGAGGAGGGGGCCAGGCCTAAACCCACCAGCGTTTGAGAGTGGCCCCTCCCCATCATCCAGACTTCTGAAGCTGCACATCGTGGGGTGGGGTCGCCCCCCCACCCCATCCAGTCACAGCCAGGCCACACTTCCCTGGGTGACAATTCAGTAACCTCACCAATGAATCCAGCTGCCTGGCCAAAGGGCACGCCTGAGCCCTCTCACAGAATCTGCACACATTCCAGCAGACTGGGCTTCAGCTCCTGCTCTTGGACCCACCTGGCTCCCAGGAGAGAGCATCTCAAGGAACTGTTTCTTTGGACCAGGATGTCCTTCTGGGCTCCCTGGGGGTTGCTCAAAGGATCCGCCTCTCCAGAAAAGAGACAGGAGTCGCTCCCACCCCCTTTCCCTCTGTGTGTGGTTCTGACAGTGGGCCGAGAAGGAGGGCGGACGGTGGTGGACCGGTCCATACAGGGACTCGGGCGCACAAGTTGCGGGGAGTGGGAGCTGGAGCGCTCAGAGGTCCACTCACAGGCCCCTGCATTCCTTCCCATCTGTCCTCCGTTCACTGCACTCAACACCCACGCTTGTTTGATCCTGAAAGTGCATCACTGGCCCCACTCTCTTCCCTTGAAAACTGGGAAATGGAAACTCTATGTCGCAAGGCTCCCTCCTGCCCAGCCCCGGGCGTGCAGCCTGCTTTAGAAAGCATGACTTTGGTGTAGTTGTTCTTCACGGAAGTGACTGCTGAGGGACTCTGCCCAGAGCTGCCAGGGCTGGGGGCCCAAGGTGATGGCGGCTGGAGTCCTTCTGGGGATCTGAGGCGCAGCCTCTGAGTCGGGGGGAGTTGTTTCGGGGCAACAACACACTGCACCCTCTCTTCTTCCCCAGGCCTGCTACTGGTCACTCTTAAAAGGCTGTGTGACCGAGGCCTGGAGCGGTGGTGGTGGGTAGAGGGCTGTGGGCCCGGCGGCTCAGCTGGCACCCCAGTGACCCCTCCCCTGTCCTGCAGGTGGGGCGCGAGGACACGGGCCACTCGCTGTACTACTACAGGGAGGCTTTGATGATCCCAGCCTCGCGCGGCGTGAAACTGCCTTACTTCTTCCACGCCGGAGAGACAGGTGAGCCTGGGGCACCGTCAGGGGTGGGAGGGGGGTGACGGACAGGGCCCTCGGCGTCCCTCTGTGGGTCACATCCATCCTGCTCAAGACCACCCTTCTGTCCCCAGACTGGCAAGGAACTGCCGCAGATGGAAACCTTCTGGATGCCCTGCTACTGAACTCCACCAGGATCGGCCATGGGTTTGCCCTGAGCAAACACCCAGCCGTCTGGGCTGACTCCTGGAAGAAAGACATCCCCGTGGAGGTCTGCCCCATCTCCAACCAGGTGTGCAGGCCCAGGGACCAGCGCAGGGCGATCGCCCCCCACCCACGGCCCCTGCCTGGCTCCCAGATTTTCTCCTGGGTCATCTCTTGCTGCTTTCTGTACCCCTCCCCCACCTCACATCCAGAGTCACAGAGGAAAAGCTTTGCCTAGACCACTCGTGGTCATGAGGGCCCCCAGGGGTGGACCTGTGGCGAAGCTGTGGACGAGCTAAAGGACACTGGGGGCACCACGGGGTCAGGGGACCACAGGTCCTGCTGTTGCACGGCCGCTTGGGGCTGTGTGCTCAAGAGAGCTGCTCAAAGCAGCACCAAACATCCCTGGTGAAAACTAGGGTGCGGGGACCTGGGGAGGCCTGCAAGTTGTCCCCTAGCGGACCCAGAAAGGCGCTGGTCACACCCTGGGTCTCACCTATCTCGTGACGACCCTTCATGGATCTGCTTGTCTCTCCTTTGCCTCCGACTGGGCAGGTTCTGAAGCTGGTGTCCGACCTGAGAAACCACCCCGCTGCTGTCCTCATGGCCACTGGGTACCCCATGGTGATCAGCTCTGATGACCCTGCTGCCTTTGGGGCCAAAGGCTTGTCCCACGATTTCTACGAGGCCTTCATGGGCATCGGCGGGGTGACGGCCGACCTGAGGACACTCAAACAGCTGGCCATGAACTCGCTCAAGTGAGTGTCCTGGGCGCTCCGTCTTCGGTTTGGGGCAGGAGCCTGGAGGGTTTCCGTGGTTCCTCTGGTTGTCTCTTACTCCACTGCTCTCGGGCTGGGACCGACGTGCTCTGCTCTGCCGGCATCTGAGACCCCTCCGGCCACCCACCCTGGGCTGACCTGCACGCCCCTCCTCCTGCAGGTACAGCGCCCTGTCGGAGGGTGAGAAGAAGGTTGCCATGGAAGCCTGGGAGGAGAGATGGCATAAGTTTGTGGCCGAGCTGGCCAGGGGCCCAGAGTGAGAAGAGGCTGTCCGCTGCCCTCCGCCTCCGCTTCCCCCTACACTGTCCTCACGTTCTCCACCTCGGCCGTTTAGAACCCAGCGTGGTCTCCACCTCTGTGTCTTTATCAGAACCGACCTGTGAAGGTCACCCGGGGCCGCCACGTTGCGGATCTCCCAGAAACACCCCATCCGTGGACCACACTCGCCTTTGGATGCCCTCTGTCGCAGCCTCAGTGACAGGCCCCCTGCTTCCTCGCTGGCCGTGGCTCTGGCCCCTGCACTGGCTCCGGCTCTGCCTGGTCTCTGTGGTCCGCTGGCTCGCCCGTCCTGGCTTCTCTCCTGCTCTTCCCTCCTCTCACGCTGCACGATCCTCCTAGGTGGTCTCGTCCGCTCCTTCCTTTTTAAAGCCACGTATTGTTGATGATTCCCAAGCGTCAGATGCATGTGGATGGCTCCCAGACTCTCGGAGACCTACTGTGTGCAGCGCTGCCCTTCCAGCCTCTCCCTGGTCATTCCTATCTTGGGAGAAGTCCCCTCCTCCCACTCCACCCACTGCTCAGAGCAGAGATGGTCAGTAAATTCTTGCCCCCCCATCAGAAGGGCCCTTGGATCCGCCCCCCCCCCCGGCTCTGGGCTCAGTTCCAGCCACTGTCGCCTCTTCCCTGAGTTACGACAGCCTCCTAACCCACCTCTCCTTTCTTCTCTCTGCTACCCCAGCTCTGTTTTCAAAGAGCAACGGCTGTTTAGCGCTAAATTAAGCCAGGGTGCTCTGCTTTACAACGCGGTGCACTTAGCAAAGCCCGGAAGTCTCCACAGGGGGTCGCCTCCTGTCAGCCCGGGCCCCCCAGCAGCGTCCCGCCCCCAGCGCCCTAGTGCACCAGGCTGCCCCCGGGTCCCAGGCTCTGCCCTGCACCCGGCTCCTGCCTCACGCTCTCTGCCGGGAATGCCGGCAGAGGTTGCAGCTTTCCTGTCCGTGTCTCAGAAAGGTTTCCAGGCCCCATTCTCCCTCGGGGCACCCTAGGCTTTTCCTTCCTGACTCTACTGCGACCGCCATTAGGAATGTATTTCTGGGGCCTCCGTCCCACCAGACCAGAAGCTCCAGGCGGACAGGCACTGACGACCCGTCATGCACACTGCGAAGCCCGAGCCGGCTCCCGGCCCCGCCGGTTGGTCCGCAGTGGGGGACGCGGACAGGACGGACCTGACCTGGGCGTGCTGGGCTGGCTGAGGCAGGAGCAGAGCGGAGTCACCCCAAACAAAAGACCCGTGGGGTCAGGTCCAGGGCTGTGGGCGAGGGCAGGCGAGGGGCCAGCCCTGGCCTCACCCAACCCCAGGGTGTGAAGGAGACCAAAGAATTCCTCCAAAGAGGAATGTCTTCTCCCCACCCCATCCCCGTGCCGAGCCCTCAGGCAGAAGCCAGCCCTCTCCCCGAGGGGACCACTGGCCCCTGGGACTGGGAAAGGGTCCTCAACCACAGGCTGGTACCTGGAGGGAGCCGGATGCCCTAGAAGGGCCTTTGAGTCATCGCCTTCCCGGTCCCAGCAGAGGACACACGGTCCCAGCTCAGCTGATTTAGATTCAATAAATGTGAGAACAGAACTTACCAGAATGGGCTTCTGCAGCAGGTTGCCATGGCCACAGGGGTCTCCCGGGAGCATAAGGTCCCTGATTTGGGAAACAAACCAGCTCTGGTGCATTCATGCCGGTTCAATAGGCTGAGTCCGAGCTGACAGCCAGAAACACCCCACGGCCAGGTCCTGACTCGCGAGGAGGGCGTGGCTGCCCTCCCTCGGGCCTGAGCGACGTCTCTGCCAGGGGCACGGGGTGAAGCTGGCTTCACTCACTCCTCCTGTGGGACTTCCCTGAGTGCCCTGACGTAGATGCCTTTTGGGAAAACTTGTCTGTTAACTGAAGTTTTGTAAACCAAATCACGGGGTACGTGGAGTGGGGGGGAGGGGCTTGCTCTTTCTTTGACGGCAATCTGCAGCAAAGCATTCAGTCTGCAAAACATCTTTCTGTGATTTGAACTTCTGGACTCTATCTGTTTATTTACTTCTCAGAATGAGGTCAAATCCTTTGTCCTTCTTTGTCAGATGAATTGTCCAGGCAGGAAGAACCACAGGGTCCACATCGCCCAGCCTGTGGCGGGTGCCCTGATCCGGCCTCCTCCAGGGTCCTGGAGTTTTGCTTCGTCCAGGACAGCTGTGGGGGGGGGGACAACAGGGGGCCTTCCGGAAGGTCAGATGGAGGGAATTGCAGGACATGCAAAGCATCCTCTTTGCCAGCAGGTTGGAAGTCGGGGTCCAACCACAGGGAAAACCATGGGACTTTGATCTCAGTACCTTGAAATCGTGTGAAACTTCAGAAGAGTGTTAAGGAAAGCACGAAGAACTCCAAACGCACGCCCCGCCCAGGTTCCGTGACCAACGCGCTACACACTTGCTGCACCCGTCGCCCGCCCTCCCCTCCCTCGGTGCCCCTAACTAGACGCCCTGCATTTTCTGACCGGTTGAGACTTAGTCTGCAGATGTCACTCCTGAACACGCCCGTGTCGTCTCATAAAGACAGCGCTGTTCTCCGTGCAGCCACAGCACCACCGCCCAAAGCAGGAAGGGAGCACCGAGGGCACGCCACCTGCCGTCTGACCCCGGCCCCTCCACACGCTCCCCCTTCCTGGCCCAGACCCCGGTCGGGGCTCCTGGGTCACATGTCAGTCGGGGACAGTGCCTCAGTCTCTCCTCGTCCTTTGTGCCCTTGCCGTCTCTGAAGAGCACAGGCCGGTCATCCTGGGGTTTGTGATTCCAGCTGTGCGCCTTGAGGGGGACGCCTCAGGTGGTGTTTGTCCTCAGTGCTTTGCCCCAGGGACTGGGGCCAGGGCCTGCCGGAGGCCATCTCTCCCGCAAGCAAGAGCAGTCCTTAGCGCTGGGTTAGACCAGCCTGAAACCAGTCATCGTGGGAGTTTTTGCACCGCAGAAATCAGCGAATGTTACAAATCTGTGCCTCCCCCAGAAGGTGTTAAACATTAACACCCCCCCCCCAAGCTTAGGATGTCAGTTTGTCCCATTACCAGGAGGTTAACTCTGAGCACTGTGTTAGGTGATGCCTGCCGGGATTCGCCGATGTAGAGATGTTCCCTTGGTGACTAGTGAATACTTGGCGGGAGACACTTCAGCTCTATGTGGAAATATTATTCCTCATCACAGCTTTACCCGCTAGTTTTTGCTTCCGTCCAGGATTATTGTCTGAATCGACTGTTACCACCATAGCTGCTGTTTCAAGTATCTGTTGCTGTGTAATAAATTATCCCAAAGCTTAGTGGCTTCAAAAACCAATAAAACTGTGCTGTCTCTCAGTTTCTGTGGGTCAGGGATCTGGGTCCAGCTGAGGAGGTCTGCTGGGGTCTCTCGTGAGGTTGTAGTCAAAGCGGTGGTGGAGCAGGAGCCGCTGGGGGCTGGCCGGGCCTCAGCAGGGGTCTCTGCACGGGCCAGGGTGGGCTTCCCCACGGTACGGGGTTAAAGGCTTCAAGACTGAGTGTCCAGGGAACAAAGCAGAAGTTCTCTTGCCTTTTCTTACGTAACCTTGGAAGTCACGTGGTCTCACGTCTGCCATGCTCTGTGGGTCACATCTCTCTGGTCTAAACCCTCCCAGCTTCAAGCAGAAGGGATGGAGACCCCACCTTTTGGTGCAAGAGGGTCGAGGTCACATTGTAAGAAGGACATAGAAGATGAGGGACACTGCTAGAAAATACTTGGAAAGTACACTCACCAAGTGGAGATTTTCTTTTTTTTTAAATTTTATTTATTGATTTATTACTATATTATTTTATTTATTTAGTTTTGGTGGGGTGGGGTGATTAGGTTTATCCATTTTTACAGGAGGCACTGGGGATTGAACCCAGGACCTCATGCATGCTAAGCACACACTCCACCACTTGAGCTACACCCTCCTCCTGGTGATTTTCTAGTTCTACCATTTCTTCTGTTATTTTTGTAAAAAAAAAGTTA